GAGAAAATCCACTCCTGGGAAAGTCTTCGTTTGGGGACCCCCTTCGGAAAAGGACATCGCTGGCCAGCCGCCCCCGAAGCGCCCCCCTCCCTTGTCGGCTGGTCCAGGCGGGGGCTGAGCTCAGGACAAGGGCGCCCCCTGGTGTCCAGAGACGGAAGGGATAAAACCTGCACACACACGCGCGCGAGGGGGGGGCGTCCCCGGGAGCAAGCGGGGCGATGATACAAGCGTGGGAGCCAAAGGGAGATCTGGGGAAACTTTAATGGTGAGGTTCCAGGAGACGTTTGCACCAATATATCTGGACGGTCGGCACAGGGACTAACAGTAGGTCGTAGCAACAGATTCTGGCTCCTCGAACCGGGGGGGGGTCCTTTGCGATCTGCTGCTGGGGGCGGGAGCCTGAGAGGGAGCGAAACCCACCAGACGCCCCGCCAGGAGAGAGGGAGGGAAGGAAGGAAAGAGGGCCGTCGTCAAAACCAAGCAGTCATGCCGTTAATGAACACCAGCCCATCCCTCCCCACCCCCCATCCCCCATCCCTGCTTTTACAGCAACCGGTCGCCATCTGGGTGCCTTTCAGATGGGCTTCGTGCACCTCCCATCATCCCCATCCATCAGCACAGCCATTGTCTGGAAGGCACTTGCATTTTCTGCTATACCAAGCCTTAGGAGGGAAGGCTGGAAGAATAAGGCGGAGGGGGTGATAGGAGAGCACTCTTCAAATATGTGAAAGGCTGTCCTACAGAGGAGGGCCAGGATCTGTCCTTGATCATCCCAGAGTGCAGGACACACAACCTGGAAGCCAGATTTCGGATAAATATCAGGAAAAACTTCGGGAATCGGTGAGCGCTCCAACCCTGGAGGCCTTCAAGGAAAACTTAAGAGAACCACCTGTCAGATCTTCTTTGATTGGGATTCCTGCCTTGAGCAGGGGGGGAGGTTTGGACTGGATGGCCTTGTAGGCCCCCTTCCAACTTCCCTTTTCTATGCTCTCTATACCTCGGCCACTGCCCCCCCCCTCTCCCCGTCTCCCAGCAGTGCTGCTGGAAGGAGTCTCGCAGACACAGGTAGCCAGCCCCCCCGCCCCAATCCCTACCCCCAGGTTCTCCTCCCAGGAGCAGAGAGCAGCAGCTGGGTGCTCCCAGGTGGGGGGATCCAGGCGGCCAGCTGCACCTGCTGCCCCCTCACCTGGAGGGGGCCAGACCCGCTTCCACAGCTGGTCACTGAAGTTTGGGAAACCCGGGCCTCTGGCGCCCTCTGGCGGCCTTTTCTCCATGCAATTAACATGGGCGAAGCGGAGGAGAGCGAGCCCTGGCTTCGAACGCAAGCCGAGGCGGCGTTCCGGTTGAATTCTGGGAGTTGTAGTTCCGCTCTAGCCCATGTGGAAGGTGCCCTGTGGGTGGGTGTCGGGGAAGAGAGGCGCCTAAGCAAGGACCTCTCCAAGAGGCTTGTCCTTAGAGAGCAGCTGATCTGTTCAGCTTCACTTTTTTTAGTTCGCCCCTGTCATTTCAGATTTGGAGCTGGGCAGGAACAGGGCAAAAAGGGAACACCGTGGTGGTGGCTCCCTATTTTTCTGAGTCAGAAAAGGAGCCAGAGTGTTGCTTTTGGAGGGCAGCCCCACACAATCCCAAACTCTTCCTTCCGCATGCAAAGAATAATCCTGTCCTTATCCTATACAGTACCTTCCATGAACTGAGGCCTCGAAGAAGGATTGTCTCTCCTATGTGTAATTTGAACTCAGGGCCCCCAAGCCATTCAGCAGAGAGTGCCACACACCCCTTCCTTCCTATTCTGACAGCTATCCGGCACAGGAAGTGAGGGGGGGGCTGACCCACCTGCCCCTCTTGTCCCATTCAAGGTAAAGGATCCTGGATAACTTAGGGCGCTCCTGTTATAGAAAAGCAACTTCCCATGGTCTGAGCTTCAGCTGATGAAGCTTCCAAGCAAGAATCCAGATGCTCAGAAGCACCCCCTCTGAGTCTGTCCTCCGCTTCCCATACGTATATATCATGGCCCTAATCCTGTTGGGAGTTCCTTTCCCCACCGGGTCTCTTGGGAGAAGAGCCAGCCTGGGTGGCTGTGGGCAAGCTGCACACGGTCCCAGACCTGCCCCCTGAAGAAGGAGATGGGGAGTGATTTAGGAGGACGACCCAACTAGAAAACCCTGGAGAGGGTTGCCGGAGGTCAGACTTGATGGCATGTGATTATTTATGGGAGGGAACGGAGCCCACAAAGGCAAAAAAGCATCCCTGTGGTTGGTTTGGCAGCCCCAGGCTCAGCTCCCTCTTGGAGAAGGATCGGACCCCCCTGCAAGCCTGTGGGGTGGCTGACGGAGCATTCCTTGAGCTGGGACAGCAGGCCTTCCTCCCCCTCCTCCTCCTCCTCCTCCCGTCCCCAACATACAAAGGAGCCTGACCGGCATACCACGCTATGAGGGGGGCTCCCTTTTGTCCTTCTTACACATTCTGAGCCACGGGAAGAAGTAGAAGCAGCCCCAATAAATCCTGGAAGACAGAAGAGCAAGGAATTTCTCTCTTCTCCAGAAAGGAACACTTTTTTTCCTGTCCCCGGCACCCTTCTCTACCCGTTGGCAGCCCTGAGCTCACTTGTGGCCAGAGGAGATGCTGTCCGAGGGGCGCCACCAAGGCACAGCGCCCGGGGCCCGTCTGACAGAGGCATTCCTGGGGAGCTTGTGGGAATGAGGAGATGAGGGGGAAACCCCTGAGGGAGGGAGGGAAGGAAGGAGGGAAAGGCAGAACCCTGCACCGGCGCCACCCTCCGATGGACAGGCCGCAGCGCTTGCCGCTAAGAGGGCCGACCTTTGCTCCTCTTGCATTCCGGTGAGGGCTTCCCTGCCAAGGACGCAGGTGCCCGAGGGGGCAGGAACACACCGCCCACCCCACCCCCTTCGCCACCACCCGGCTGCTCTGCTCCTGCTTCTTGTACTCACTCTTCGTGGACTGACTGTGACTCGAAGTCCAGCCTCCAGCTGCCGGCCTCCAGCCTGTCCTTCTCTTCAAGCTGGTCTCCAGCCTACACAACACAGGTGCCGTGTCAGAGACTCACAGAACTGTAGGGTTGGAAAGGACCCGAGGGTCATCTAGTCCAGCCCCCTGCCTATGGAGGAAATCCTAGCTAAAGCAATCGTGACAGATCCTGCCGCCTGCCCCCCTCCGACCAAAGGCCACCTCCTTTGGGGGCAATCCTTTCCGACAGGAGGTTCTAAGCCAGGCTTTGTCCCCATCTCCTTCCCTGCCATTCCTGGCGCTCTCCTCGGCAGTTCAAGGTCTTTCCGCCTTGAGGGAGCGGACTGGCACAGCTGTACGGGGGAATCCAGATGTTCTTTTTGCACTAGAAGGTGACTTGCTCTGCTCCACTCAAGGTCTTCCCAGCTTTTACTTCATGATCTCTTTCCGTCATGTGCAACACCCCCCCCCTCCACTCCCAACCCCAGCTAAGCTGCCATGGTGTCCTTCTTTTCAATCCAGGATCTTCCCGGGGGGGCTTGGGGGCTGTCAGGACCAGGCCTGAAAGAAGCTGCTCATGCAGAGGGAAGAGAAGAGAATGGTCTCTTTCCCCTACCCAGGGAACTGGAAGCTTGAAAGAATTAAACAAGCAAACAAACATCGCTGGAACAAGTAGCTCGAATTCAGCTTGACTCTCCATTTCCAGTTTGGTCTTTCAAGTTTTGAGTACAAATATGTACCGTGAATTCCAATTAAGATTTTTTTTCTCTTTCAAAGTTATACATAGCTAACAAGTTGATTTAACTTTGGTCAGGGAAAACATCCATGCAAGGTGTTGTTGTTTTTTAAAAAGTTAACCTCTTGCCTAACCGTTCATGCTAAGATACTAAACGAAATAGCTGACCAATACTGACGGTTCTGAAATTTAGCCAGGAAAAATTCAATATAAAAATATTTGCAGAATAGAAGGGTTTAGATGCCCACTCCAGCCCACGTAGGGCATTGGGTGGGTCTGGGTGTCCCTTGGCAAGCAGGGTGGACCCCTTTGGCAGTTCTGAGGGCCACGGCGCATCCCCCCCACACACACACTCTGAGGGCTGAACCAGCCCTTCCCAGTAGCTCCAGGGGGCAGGATCCGAAGTAGTGGCTTCAGCGGACAAGAGAGGAGATTCTGCGTAAACACCAAGGAGTCCTTCCTGACAGAAGGAGTCCCTTGACTGTGGGACGGAGCACCTTGGAGGGGCTTTGGAATCTCCTTCCGTGGAAGCTAAGAGGGCCGGCCGAGCTATCGCTGCTAATCTGGCCTCAGTCCCTCCAGCTCTTACGATTCTGTGATTCTAAAACAGAAATTGACAGGAAGGTCCCTTCTGCTTTTTTCTTCTTTTAAAAATGGTTCTTTTTAAAGGGGCTTTTTTTTTTGAGAGGGGTGGAAGATGGCACATAATAATTTTTTATTTAAAAAAACATGAGATGCAAGAGGGAGTCATCTTAGAGAACGATCTTATCCCTGGAGGCTTCTGCAAACAGGATTCCCCAACTTTTTAGAAAAAAACTGGAGGGGGGTCCCAGAAGGCTACATGGGGACCCCACACCAGAGACTGGCCGTGTGCAGCCCCATGGGCCCAGAGGCTCCCAGGCCTGCTTTACAGAAAGCCTCCCCCGCCCACCCACCCCCATGCCCGGT